AGGGTAGGAGGGGGGGGGGGTGCTGCTCTAGACGATATCCCCCCCCACCCCCTGACCCGAACCGCGCAGCCGCTGCAGCGGTCCTTTGTGTCCGGCAGCAGACGAGGAAGGGGTTGTGTAGCCGAGTCGTGACTCCGGATCAACACGGGTCAATCGAGTCCGATCGAGTCGCCCCTTTTCAGTGGGGCCCTTTCGCTGCCTCTGCGACCGGCGGCGCGGGGCCCAGGACGGCCCAGGATGCCCTTCCTCTCCCCCCCCCCCCCACCGCAAGGCCAGGACGTCTAAATTGCCAGGACCAGACAAATAACGCCCGGTGGGGAAACTTGCAGTGCAATGCACCTCAAAGTGGGAAAAACGCGTGACACGATCCCACTTGAAGTAAATCTGTTTCGGATAGCATAACAGGGCTCCTGGTTTTCCCGTAACTTTCAATGCAATCGGGAGGGTTTCCTATACTATATGGGAGGGGTGAGGGGTGTGTGCAGTGAATTGCCTACCTCCTAGGCGGCTTCTTAGGGCTGACCGTGCCTACTTCATACAGAGCGGTCCACAGACACAGACCCCCTCCCTTTATTTAGCTTATGCTGTACCGGGTGCAGGCGTGTGGCCGGGTTGCATACTCGCACGGGGCCATAAGCCGCCGCGCGGTGAGCGACTACGATAGGCAAGCCCGTCCGCACGCCTGCACGCGGTGGTACCGTGTAAGCAAAATAAAGGAAGGGGCCTGAGGACCACCCTGATGTTGACTAAATCTTGACCAATGTCGTCGTATCGACGTCAAGCAAGAGGTCTTCTTCGTAACTTTTTCGTGTTCATTGGGGGAGTCCATTTGTGTCCCGATGAGGCGTGGTCAACGCGAAACTGCCCAAAGCGACCGTTCTTCATCTTTCGGTGAGGTATTTTATAAAGATACTTTTCTAGATTTCTTTCTTATCTCTGAATTTTCTTCTAAAAATTTTCAGTTTTTCCTGTTATTCTGGTAACATTTCTATTTTTTCCAATTTTTTCTGGAAAAAATTCAATTTTATTTTCGGATTTTTTTTGAATTTTTTTTTTTCGGGGGGGAGGGGGTTAAAATATTTAAAAACCACACACGACGGCACGGCACGGCGCGCCCGGCTGCGCGCGCGCGCGCCCGACAGACGAGACGCCGCCGGTGTCGCGCCCTGGCGACTAGACCGCGAAGCTCGGGCTCCCCATCATCGCCATAGGGCAGTAGCGATAGGCGAAGGATCGAGGCATCGACTTCCAATCTGAGTGGCTGCTGAGTGGGGAGCAGACGACACAACAAAACAGCAATTTTGATTAGTTTTGAATTACTCTCGAATCTTTATCATTAATAGTCTATTGAAAAATGATGTCTTAGACTAAGAACAGCCTATCATATGCAAAGTTTTAACCTTTTCCCCCAGATATCTCCATGAGAACGTCTAGAAGCAGATGTGCCTCTCCCTCAGTTTAAACTGCCGCGGCTTCGCGCCGTACGAGCAGGTCTGAAAGGAGGTTAGGCTCCTTTTTTTATACTGGTTGAATACCATTTCTGTGCATAAATACATCCGTGATTTGAGTTCCCGATTTGAACGCACTGCATTACTTGGGTTTTAGTGCGAGAAATATTGAACAGTCTTGATTTCTGAGGCTCCCACTCAGCATACTTCGGAACGTTACGGGCTGGTTTCACCGGCAGTGCTTCGATAGAAAGATAACGGTCCGCTATTGCTACTGCTCTATGCCATCGCCATCTTGCAGGAACGCCGAGCATCGTTGGCGTCACCAAGCTCTTGTCCTAAGATGAGTGAATTCTAAGGAAGTCGAATTTTGAGGGTCTTGGCGGCTGATGAATGGCTAGGAATTTTCGGAGCTGCGCTCTCGACTCCCAGAACTGTGAACGTAGTCAGTAAAGGTAAGCCGAGGCGCGAGCGCCCCACGATATAAATATATTTTCATCTTTTCCAAGACGTGTAATCCCGCGCCCGGATGATTGCTCGCTTCTCTGGCCATTTAACAACCGCTGGGGTATAGCCTTGAACGGTTGCGTACTCGCTTCCTGGGTGCGCAGCCCGATCGGGCAACGTATTTTGCGTTATTTTCACGGTTTAAATCGGCCTGGGCTCACCGCTTGGAATATTTATGCGGTGGTCGGGCGAAAGGAAGGAGGCTTTGTTTTTTTTTAAGCCCCCCTCTCTGTCTCTCTCTCTCTCTCCGCTTCCATCCTTAACATTGCCGGCTCAAGGGTTCTTTTTCCCCCCTGCGTGACTGAACTGCCACTGGAAATTACGAGAATGTAAATACTCGCCTAGATTCGTCGCCAAATTGCCGGTACGACGTTGAAAGAGCCTCCAAAGTGCGTATGTGTGGTCGCCAGGGCGATTGAAGTGCAGCGTCTCGGTCAGGCTAGGCTTCCATAGATGAAGCCATTTATATTCCTTCGCGTCGGTTGTGATGGACGGGTGATGGACGCAGTTCGCGTTCGCTAAATTTCCGCACAAAATTTAGGTGCTACTTGTCTCAAATATATCTACACCCATGCAATGTGACCTTATCAACATTTTATGGTCGTTAAATATAAGCAGTTGCCCCTCAGTTACTATTTTTAATATTCTCATGGGGGTCTTAACAAAGGAACCTTACCTTATATTACCTTCCATGGTTTTTTGTTCTGTTTTTTGTGTGTGTGCTTATAATGTACTAGTCTTGTGGATTAACATGTGTGTTAAAAATTGACTGTACTGTTAAATTGAATTTTGTTTGTTTCTGGTTTAGGTACCGAAGATGTTAGGATCTCAGCAATTTTGTGTACGTTGGAACAGTTACCAGACTAACCTACAAGATGTTTTTCCTAAGTTGCTTAATAGTGAACATTTTGTGGATGTCACCTTGGCGTGTGAAGCACAAATGATAAAATGTCACAAGGTAAGAAAGATAAAGCTTGATTGCATACAAACTCTTCAGTTCAGAGCAATTTTGTTCAATTCCTTTGGTTTTTCAGGTGGTACTTTCAGCTTGCAGTACATATTTTGAGGAGCTGCTTGTTAAAAACCCATGTCAACATCCAATTATTTTTATGAAGGATATGAAGCATTGGGAGGTTCAAGCATTAGTTGATTTTATGTACAAAGGTGAAGTTAATGTAACTCAAGAAGAGATATCTACTCTTCTTAAGGCTGCTGAAGCCTTGCAAATTAGGGGACTATGCGGTGCAGACCGTCAACAGGACAGCAATGCTGTCAGTTTACCTCCTGAAACCACATTATCAGACAGTGGTAAGTTTTTGGAATTTTCATTTACTTTGTTCTTTTTCCATGCACTAGTTAAATTCTATCTTTTTCAATGCCTGTATTAAGAAAAAAATTCCCAATGTTTAGGAGGAAGAGAAACGCCTCCTGTGAAAAGAAGAAAATTTCCTGAACAACAATCAGAAAGAAATGAACGCAGAGAAAAGCAACAACAACAACCTAGGGCACCCACTCCTAAACCAACTAATGCAACACCTGGTGCATCACCTTTAGTGACTTCAACTCCAACCTCTAGTAATGATATAGCCTCAGTTCTAGGCGTGCCTGGTCCTGTAACTGCATCAGTCACATCAACACCTTACAGAGACTCAGAACGAAATAATACTGCAAAAGAAACTACTTCTGAAGATGTTCAAGATAGAGTAAGCCAGCCGTTATTCCATATCTTTTCAAAGCAAATTTATTTAACAAATCCCATTTTACATATTGTCTCACAATCAATTTTTTTTTCCAGTCAAATATTAAAAGGGAACAGATGGACCAAGATGATTCGTATTTTGACAATGACGGTGAATATGACTCTTTTGACATTCAGGTAATATTATTTCATTATCTTTGAACTATCAGACAGTTGGTGTGCAGTTTGACATGTGGTTTTAAATTGTTTAGGATGACTCAAACAGCATGAATCCGGACATTTCTATGCCAACCTCTCCACTTGACCAGGCTGGACCTTCTGGAGTGCCAGGAATGCAAGAAACCAAACCCACAGCAGGTATGTACAAAGTCATCAAACAATGTCTTGGAGGTTGAGCAGCCTATCTCAAACACATTTCTTTACTGAGTTTGATCTCCATTACATCCCTCCTATCCATTCACTATCAATATATCTAATTTCCTGGGCCATTTTGATGTTTGCTGTATATATTTTTTTCCCTTTCCCCTGTTTTTTTCCCTATTGTTTTATTTTGTTTCAATTATTTTTTTTTTGAAAATGACATTTGTCATGTGAGAATGCTTCAGAAATGTTTTTTGATAGGCTGCACATCCTCAAAGAACCTGGGAGGCAGCACAGAGTATATATTGTTCTAAGGAATGAGTCTGTCATAAATGTTAACCAGTTAACTGTGGTGTATTATGTAAATACTGGACAACCATTTTACACATGGCATTGCTAGCGGTCATGTTCTTGATCTACACCTTGAATAATATTTCCATTCTTACCTCCAATTAAAAACTGATTATTTTATTACCTAAATTTGGATGTTGCTCATGTTTTTATCATCTACTCTGTTCTGCCTCTCACAGTTATTTTAGGTTTTAAAGTGAACATTACTCTCTTACCAATTTTGAATTATACTTTCCTTGAAATTTCATCTTGTGCTGTGCCTGTATTGTGGTCTTGAAGGTTTTGGGTTACCGTGAGGTTCTAAAATCAATTCAATGTTACTGTTCTCTGATGTACATTGAGCATCATATCTTACCAATTGTGTTATATGAATTGCATACTTGGCTCCTGCAACAAGTCTGCAATAACTACCAGTTTTGCCTCATTTGAGGTAATTCTTGTAGAATGGTGCAGAATTTCAAACAAGAATGTGGTTCTTTCTTTCTCTCTCTCTCTCTCTCTCTTTTTTTTCCTTTTTCTTTTTTTTTTTTGTTACATCTGTATTTTACTGAGGATTTTGAAGTGTATTCTCACAATTTTCTATGAACCACATCCTTGAAATCATACCTCAATTTTTCCATGCAACACATGCTTGTAGGTCATATAAGTAAGAGGGTTGGCTGATCCCTATTGCACTGCTTGTTGAACCAAATGAGAACACTGTACTGTAGCAGAGGGGAGCTTGGGGCTCTTGATCTTCATTCGACTGTTTTACCCGTACTGTAATGTACCTCATGGGCATGTCTGTAATGTATTTTTAGAAGTAGTGTATGGCCTGGACTGGATATGTGCAGGATTTCTCCTTTTTTCTCCCATCTTCTGTTGTTGAACGTCTTTTCAAGATATCATTGATATAAGGGTTCAACTCAAATTCAACTATACTCTTCTCTTTTAAACATGGTGGAATCAAATCGTTTGCTTGCTGCTTATTGGGCGACATACCTGTCTTTTCATCTTATGACGACGCTAAAATATTCCAAGATTTTTCACCTCGAAAAGAAGTATTATTTTTTACAATCTGCAGAAATTGTCTGTACGAAGATATTTGAAAATTGGCTGATTTTTCGGTCTGGCTTCTTCGGTTTCATGGTAAGTTACAATTATCCCTTTTTTATTACTGATCTCTGCTCAATGTTGATGTAGTTTCACTGATTTTTTTAATCTTATCATATAATCCTTCACAACTTTCTTGTGGTCTTTGAATGGGTTCTTTTTTTGTGCCCTGTTTAAACCCCACATTTATTATTGTGACTTTGCAAATTTATATAATACTAGAAGAGCTGTGGCCTGGGCCAAACTATGGCCTGGGCCATCATAATTTTTCCATACAGTTTTCTACCAAACGTAGGATTTAGCTTTTGGTGGATGTTTGTCCAGTTTATTTTGCATGGGATGTTTAGTAATGTAGTTTTTCATTTCTTGTTCGTTACTAAGTTCTAAAAACTTTAAACCCCCTTTCTTAAATTTATTTTATATATTTGGTGGTTCAATCAATAATTGATTGTGTGCATGTTTTTCCACAATTTATCCATTTTATGAATTTTATATATAGCAGTAAAAGTTTGATTAGTAGGCTGAAAGCTTTACAGTACTGTGAATTGCATGTGGAATGTCCATATCATTTTTTGTAGTTTTCTTACTGGTAGTTTTTTTTTTCTCTTTTCGTTATCCAGTTTGGCTTTGCAAACATGGCTACCTAGTTGTACAAACATGCTGGAAGTATTCTTGTTATTTGTTATGATTATCATCAATTGTGGTCATGTGTGCATCTTGCCTAGTCCACCTATGTATTAGATGACTGCAGTAGTTGATTATTTTCAATGAAGTTTCTCTCTGCCCTTTCTCTTAGTATTAACTAGAGACGATTTCTTGTGATTTGGGTGTTTTCTGATCTTATAGCCTAGACAGCCAACCTTCAGTGTGACATATGTTCCTAAATTTGCTTTGGAGAAAAAAACATTTTGGTCAAAGTAGATATGTCCCTTTTAATCAAAAGGTGGTTGAATTGGGTACATTCAAGCTACTGAGCTGTTTTGCTCAACCAGCCAGTCTGATGTCGTTATCTTGGGTGCAGGTGTTGGCCAGAGGGTAGGTTTGGCCTTTTCCCCTGGTCAACTGTCGTGGCTGCCAAGGGTCCCAGCTGTAGACATCCATCCCAGTGGCCTGGACACTCTCAAACTGATAAATCCGATGCTTCCAGGAAGTCTGATGTGTGATGGGGCTTTTCCAAGTATTATTCAAGAGCATTTGAACAATTTTGGGGAGATACCTGAGTGTGGCTCTCCGTGTAGTAATGAAGAAAATATTCTCTTAGATATACCAGGGGGGCCAGTCAACTTGTTTGATTGCCGTCGAACCCGTATTAGTAAGTCCCACTCTGATGCTGAGAAGCGAGAAAGGAAATTGGTCTTAGCAAGACTCCGCCAAAGGCGCTTTAGAGAAAGGATGAAGAAATTACGAGGAATGAGTGAGGTTAATTTCCAAGAACTGTCTAACTCTGCAGATGTTGAATAATGAACATTTCTTAAGAGTTCTTTCCCTCAAGATGCCACCTCATGCTTCATCCAGCTTAAATATTTATAAGACCTTCCACTCAATCTACAGCAACCAAAAATGGAATTTGTTTGTTAGGTTTTCTGTCTTTTGATCAGGGAAGATGATTTACAAACATGCATCATGTTATGTTTTGTTCCTAACTCAGAATAGGTATTTTACCTATTTTTTTGCAGTTTGAATATTGCTTTATGTTTTAAATAACAAAGCTACATTGTTTGTCTGCTTATTGCTGTAACATCCTGCTCAAGTTTAAAGTTCATTTTGCTTGTGAAGTGTTTCAAAGCTCTTCTGGTTAGATAGTGATGACTATGGAAACTTTCCCTGCAGTGACTTGAATGCAAATTCTGTGATATTTCACAAGTACCGTAATTAGCTTAAGCCAAGTCTGATTAATTTAGATTAGCTTTATCAAGAGTTTTTCTTTGAACATTAGTGTGGTGACTGACATGTGGGATACTTCTGAATCTTCTGCTTTCACTCAATTATAACTACGTGTACAATATTCCTTTCCTGTCTTTTTCTGTAATTTTTAACCACATACTAAAATTAAACCCAAGTTTGCCACTAATTTACTTGTTTTGTTTTTTTATTATTCTCAACACCTTTTTAAATATTTGCCTTCACATTCTTTCTTCTTAGTGTATTACAAGGTACTTTATTTGAAGAGTAACCCTCAACTTAATTTTTCCAGTTGACAATTCCTCAATATTTTAGTTCTATTGTTCCTGATAATCAACACCTGTATTTTACTTTCCTCTGCATCCATCATATCCTTTTATTCCCACTTTCTCTTTGCCAACTCTGTCTCCGTGCTCCGTTATGTACCTGTATGAAATGATCAGTTTCTCCTTGCCACAAATGTCACTTAAGTTGTTAACTCTGAATTTTCTTAGCTGTTATTTTCTGAATTCTTCAGCATAATTTCATGGTGCATGTTCATATATTTTTCACTTACCTCATACATAGATAGTATCTTGTATCCTAGATGGTTATTGTTGGAAATGTAAAATATTTCACTTTATGAAACTACTGAATGTATTTTAGAATGCATGCTTTGGGAGTAAGTTTGCAAATCACAAGCATGAACTTTGCACAACACAGCAAAATTGCACCTTTTTATTTGTTTTTGTTTTGTTTTTCAAAAAAGAAATAAGAAGCAAATCTTACAAAGGGTTCTATTTATAGTAATTTTACAGGTCTTTACTATTTCTTTTTGCACTGGTCATGGAAAACATTATAAAATAAAATTGTTGTTTCAAATATCATGGTAAAATGCCCACTTCACTTGCGCATGGTTGAAATTGGGGTTGCTGTCTCATATCACTTGAGGTTTATTATGTTAAAGAATTAATTTAATGATTTTAAATATTTTACTTAATCTAGTATGTACTCTCTGTTTTCATTTCTTCCCTTTTTTTTCTTTTTTTTTACATAACCCATGGCATGGAACAACGATAACCATTAAAGGCGATATGAACTACGACATGAAGTATGGCAACTTCAATCTGGGCAGCGATGTGAGCATGATCTCATCTGGGAGGATGATGTCCAATGCTGATATGCAGAATTACTTACGAATGCTCAATGCTCGCCAAGTTCGTCAGTACTCTCAGGTGAATCTTGATCAAGCTGTTGAAGATATGATGGCTGGAAAATTCAAATCTGTTAGAGCATGTGCACGCCATTATGGTGTACCTCTGACTACTCTTCACTATCGTATCAAGAACCGCATCAAAGGAGCAGCTGTCAATTATCCATCACCTGCATCTCTCAGCCGTGGTGTTGATTTTTCCTACAAACCATGAAGAACCCTGCCTTGTGCAATTAGTCCTAAATCTGTCATTGATCTATTGGTTATTCCACCTACCTGTAGAGTGTTATTTGACTGCAAAATCAAGTTTATTGGGTGGACTTGATTCTTTTCTTGTTCTTAAAACTTAATTTTTTATCTATTTAATTTATTAGAGTTAACAATTCTAGCAAATGTTGAGCTGCTCACATGCATAGACATTCAATCAAATTAGTCACATTCCTCGCTTTCATCATGTGAA